TTTTGGAACGGCCTGGAGCCCGGCTCGACCCGGTACCTGTGCATGCCTATGTATAAGTTTTCATTTAGCCACTCTTATAATAAAAGGTCCCGTTTCACAGAGCAGATGTTGTCCAATAGGTGGATAGGGCCGAAACTACACGAATTTAAAGTGGACATTTTCACTTGAATCGTCTTTGTAAGTTTTGAAAGTTATTGCTTAATATTAATACTACGGTCGAGGACTCGAGGTTAGGAATCTAGATTCGGTTAAACTTTTGTAAGACAATAGAAGGTTACATGTTTCATTTTCCGTATAAATTAAATATTTGGATTAAATGTTTGCAATGTTGTTTATGTAATAACTCCATCTATCTCATGCATGTATTATTTGTGAATTCAAATATTGTACCGTAACGTTACTTATTTGGCATGGCATTGTTGGATATGTTATGACTTATGAGTGTGAATGCTGACTTCATTATTTTGTGAATGAGTAAAATGATGTTTGCACATTATTTGGAAGTGGAATTGAGTAATTGATGTTTAGTTTGGAAATAAAGAAAAAACGTGAACTTAACCAAATAAAGCATTCTTTCAGAATCAGATTTTCGGGCATTAAATGAGTAAAAACAAGCAAACAATATTACGTCGTTGAATTAAATAAAAGCTTCTATCTATTGATGGAGACGTGTATAATAATTCAAAAAAATTATAGTACGTTCTTAATTCATTTGGGAACAATAAAAAAGAGCAAGTCTATTGATATTGCTAAAATTATGATTAAAACTATATGTAAAATATAATATATCTTATCAATAAAGCTAAGAAATATTATGAAAAAAAACTAAAATCTAGCAAATAATGATAACGATTCCAAGATTTCCAACCTTAATTGTTTTTATTGTTACACAATTTCGCATGCTAAATAAAAATCTTAATGCTCGAAAAAGTTGGTTAATAAGATTATAAGTCAAAAAAGGTTACTAAACAAGTAAGGTGTGAAAACCATTTTATACTCATTTTGTATCTTCAATTTGAGTTTCAAGTATGAAGTTAAAAAGAAAAGTTCACAAATTTTAATGTGCATGTATCCTGTGGAACACACGGGTGGAAATACTAGTACTCCGTATATGATATGTCTAATCTATAATACAACATGGGGTTTACTTTTATGGTTTGAAATTTATCAATTTAGGACTCTATTAGCGTCTGATCAGTAATTGAAAATATCAATCTAAGACTTAAAATTTCATATATTTTAGTTTTTAACTTTTAAAGATTTTAAAAAAATTATTTAGTTTTATTAAACTAATAAACTTTTATGAAGAAAATCATAAAAAATAGCAATAATATACTCCCTCCGGTTCTAAAAGATCTTGACACTTTGACTTCATAGTTTTTAAGGAAATAAATTTGACTTTACTGTAGAGTATACTGTTTGGCACTGTTTAGCACTGTTTTGTGTAGATTTATTTGCCAAATAAGGCAAATAAGAAAGTGTAAAGATAATTGTGGTACTGATAAAAATAGAAAGTGTAAAAATCTTTCAGAACCGGAGGGAGCATACAAAAGTTCGAGAGAATAAAATATAGTTTTATATTGTAGATCTTTGATTGATAATTTCCAATCGTTCAGATCCTATGTCAAATAATTAGTTATTTTGTCTTTCACATTCATTATTCTTTTTTGTGCTTTTAATACTTCCTATGTTCCTTTTCATTTGTCATTTTTTTCTCAAAAGTTGTTTACCCAACATTTCTTCTTTTTATTTATCCTCTCCTTTCTACATTTTTCAAATTTTCTTCTTTTTTTTATACATTTTCTTCTCTAGTTTTTATCTCCGGTTATTTTTCATAATCTACGTGAATCTAAGTTTTCTAACTTAATCATTATTTGATACTCTCTATGTCCCAAATTTTAAGATATTTTACGGTTTACGATGTTTGACTGACGATAAAGCAAATTGATCTCTGTCAACATTCAAATTAGTTTTTGAAAATGAAATTTACATATTCAGAAACTATATTATAACCGCTACAAAGCCTACAAAAAATAATTCAAATTTCATAAACTTTTGATATATAAAGTAAAAATTTAAGAGCAATTTATGTTGACCAAGTAAAGAGTAAATGTATCTTACAAATTGAGACTGGGGGAGTATTACTTTTCTTAATTTCCAAAAAAAAACTAGGGTGACTATAATATTACATTTGTATATTCAAGAACTTCTTAATTTGAATAACACACACTTTAAAAGATAAGAATTTCTATGAATTTCATAAATGCCCCTTGTTGAGGTTTATTCCTTCAACCCGTATGACCAACATGTAACCTAAGGGTTTCGAATGGATGGTTTAATAAGTCAAATGAAGACACAAGCCGAGAGGTCGTTCGTACAATGCTAGACTATGAGCTGATACAATTGCTATAATGCTAGAGTGCTAAAAGTGAACCCTTTACAGTGAAATAAATGCTTCTATTTATACTGCCAAAAGGTGGTTGGATGTGTTGACGTGGTTGGCTGTGGATGACTCGATCCCAACCACCAAATCTTCCGCATTAAATGCGCTTCCCGCTAGGATCTTGGTTTCCCGCCAAGGGGTGGGGATGTTTGTCCCCATGCTCTGTGTCATGTTTCCTGCTGGAATCCTGACTTCCCGCCAGGGTGTAGGGACGTTTGTCCCTTTGTACTTGCCCATTGTTTCCCGTTGGAACCCCAGACTGGTAGGGTACATACGTCCCCTAACACTTGTTACCGAAGTTTAGTCCTGTTGGGGACGAACCTCTCCAGATCGAGAGGACAGGTAACATATTGCCTTGTGCCTTCTGGGATGTTCGTAACTTAGAGGGCCCTTAATGGGTTGATGGGCCGGCCCTTCCTGACCATTATCCCAACACCCCTCTTACTAAGATAACTTTTGTAAGAGATGGGAATCGCAAAGTAGTTTTTAATAAGATGCTCATGTTGAGAATCAACATTCAGCCATTCTTTCATTAACATGTATGAGATGAAATATTTATGTAAGAGGCAATAGGGATAGGGCCTCAATATACCGACCCTTACGATATATATGGGTCCGATATTTTAATAGATATCCACATGTATTACCTAAGGGCTAAGATGTATACGTTAATTTTTTTATTCAATACGTCTATTGTTTTGACTTGATCTCATCTAGTACATTTGTATAGTTAGTCCATTATTTTCATATAAAAATGCTATGTGTACATATTTTGTACACACCTTGTACATGCTATAAATATCCCATAATTTTTACCATTTCATTTTTATTTTTTACCCTCTTTCTCTCTCCTTCTATTTCTTCTCTGCACCCTGCCCTCTGCGCCCTGCCCTCTGCGCCCTGCCCGTAACTTCACTCCAGCAGCCCACTTTCTTCTTTCTTTTTTCTTCTTCATTTTCATTTCAATACTTCTCCAAATTTAATTGTCATAAGCAATTTTATTTGTCACTATGGTGTTCACGAATGAATATGGAGCGCCGCTGACGAGCACTTTGTCGTGGTGTGCACTCAAAATAAATTCAATACTAGCACTAATACGTAGTATATGTGAAGTAGAGTTCGTATCCACAGGTAAATGAATAATTCTTTTTTATGAACTAGTAATTAAAGGGGGGTTTTGGGGTTGAATGATTTAATTTAATTAAACACTAAATTGAACGACTTATATGAGATTTAATTCAAAGATAAAAAGAACTTGGCATTGCTACTTTCCACTTGTTGATATATTTTAGTCGATCATTGTTATATCTATAATTTATTCCCTCTCGAATACTCAATTGAGGAGTATATCCAATTCATCGAGGGTAGTTATTAACAACGACCGTTCATTGATAACTCTTACTATTAGTCAAGTATAGAACAACGCCATATACCGACTTGATAGTAGCATTTAATCTCTTAACTCCTTGATGAAATCAATTGAGATTGATAACCTCAACACAACGGTTTCGGTTTAATCAACAAAATTAATCCCACTTAAGTTTATTACCCACGACCGTGCATTAATAAACCGAAGTTACTTACTTGTGAAATCATCAACGATTAACCATCAGTTCGTTGATCGTTTCTAGTAATAATTAATATTTGAAACAAAACTAGTTGATCCTTTAAGTAATGTTCAAAATATTAATATGAAATATGAATAGGAATTAATTAATATTCAAGGAAGAATATTATTAAAGAAGATGAATCCTACTATAATTAATGTCAAGATGTTAACTAATTGTCATCTTAGCAACACTCCCCAACATTAATATAGAGGAAGAAAATACTATTATAACTAATGTCAAAATGTTAGCTAATTGTCATCTTATCAACACTCCCCAACATTAATATAGAGATAGTATTAAGGAAAGAACTAATAATTAATATTCAAGGGAAGAAGTTTAAGAAAAACAACTCACAACTTTAATAATCAACAAGCTTCAAGAGCAACACCAAGAATGGAAGTTTAGCTCCTCATTTGGAGACTAAACATAGCTAGAAAAATATAAAGAAATGTTATTTTAAACTGAGCTTAAGAGTATGGAAAAAGGGATGGTTTTAATGTGAAGGAAAGGGCCCGAACCGGACCCGTCCAACCCTCAGGCCGGTCCCGGGCCCATGTCATACAAACCGGCGGCCCGACCGGGCCCGACCCGGCCCGAGTCCATCAATACCGTAAAACCACCGGGCCAGTCTGGGCCGGAACAGTACCGGTCTCGGGCAGGTTCTGGGTCGGGCCACCCGGCCCGAGTCCACCTCTACTGGTCCTTGAGGTTCACCAGTCTGCTCCTTAATGTAACTGATTTTAGCTAAACACATCTGAAATCTGTTCAAACCATCTCCCACCAAACTAAAGGATCATAACCTTTGTTACTAAAGGATCATAAATCTATTCAAATCATCACCCACCAAACTAAAGGATCATAACCTATGTTACTATTATGAGGTCAAGACTTCCGCTGAACGTTACAATATCTCTCAAAAGAAATTGAAACTTACTCTGTTAGGAGAAAAAATGTTAAGATTTGAAAGTTTATTCACCCCCTAGACTTTCACCTCACATGGGACAATCAGTTTTGCCTGACGCATGATTCTTTTTTTCCACAATGACACTAAATTCTTAACTATAATTGACAATGTATTCTGAACCGGGTAAATCCCCAATACACAAAGAGTAATTGTTTATTGTAGACTCAAGTGGCATCAATTTATTAATAAAAAATGAATAAATAAATAAAAAGAGAAAGAGAACAGCTGCTTTCTGACTTTGTAGAACAAATAATCTAGAGCTGACAGGAAAATTGTTAACTAGTTCTGGGAAAGATCTCGACTGCGCTTAGTTGCAGCTAAAACAGCATTCATCAATACCCCGCGAAACCCAGCCTTCTCCAGCTCATGAATCCCAGCAATGGTGGTGCCACCAGCTGAGGCTACCTCATCTTTAAGTTGACCTGGGTGCTTCCCTCCACTGGCCACCATAGTTGCAGTCCCCAGTACCTGTCACCACATTTCACATTTTTGTCTTAAAATAGAATGAACATCACAAAAATGTTTGTGATATGGAGAAAAACAGAGTACAATGACAATGAACATACAGTTTGAGTAGCAAGACCAAGTGCAAGGTCTCGAGGAAGACCAGCAGCTACCCCTCCATCAGTCAATGCCTCTATGGCCAAATATATGTATGCTGGTCCACTTCCACTGGTTTAAAAAACAAATAATGACAAATGAACAAAGCGTTCAGTTGATGTTGTAAATGGATCTGGTAGTATGGCTTCAAAGAAGGGGCGTGGAGCTGGCAATCCCCACCATCTGGTTAACAGGGCTTTTGACGGTCTGGGATATAGTGGTAGAAGTGGTGGTGGAAGGGGACGAGGTTTGGGATGGGGTCCACGTGGTAGGGGAAGGGGATATCGCTAACCTAGTTTTCTGCAAGATGGGTCATTCATAGCTTAAAGTTATGCACTCTTGGAAATTTGATGGGAGGAACGAACTATGTCGTGAAAAGGAGTAGAGATGACCTTTTCAAAATCACATCACCTTACTTTTCCAGAGCCACAAATGATTTGGGTTGGTACTCAGTTATGTACTCCCTACGTCCCTAACAGGATTGCACGTAGAATAATAAAGTAAAAACTGTGTGGTAGAGATTTGTGCAGAGGAGAGAGAAATAACAGGAACCACAAATTGATTGACTAAAAGAGAAAGTGGCAAAGTTTTTGGGACAACCAAAAAAGGAAAGTTGACAAAGTTATAAGGGACGGAGGGAGTATGTTTTTAGAAAGATGATTTTTATTTCAACTTACATCGGTTGGTGAACTTGAGACATTCCATTGAGGAAGAACATTGGTCATGCAATTATGCAATGCAAGGAAAATTATTATATTACAAAAAAAAAAGTAAAAGTGATGCATAAAAAATGTAACCTCAGTGTAGTGATCGACCATATTTGACTCGTGTAGTGACTGGTGGTGGTGTTGACGTTGACTATTATTTACAATTATGTCGTTGCGCATTCTTTTAAACAAGTAAATAAAGGGAAAGTAACTTTAAATAATACAAACTCATATGTAAACCAAGAATATTAAGTACTTTAGAATTTAGAAATAATTTTTAATAATACCAACTACTCCGAATTTTAATATATAACAAAAGTGATACAAGTCGATTTGCCACTAAAAATTCAGTCATTTAAAATTCAGTCATTCAATTTTTTTTCCATCATTTGCAATGGAGCCAAAGATTCATTATTTTTTGGATTGAGATTATAATGGAATAAAGCAAAATTAAACTGTCTGCACTTCTTTTTTATGAAGCAGCAGTCAGTCCATGCAATTTTGGACGGGATTTTCACTATGGGTCATCCGGAAACAGTCTCTCTGTGCTTTAGTACAGGGGTAAGACTGCGTACATCCGACTCCCCCTTACCCCCACCGTAGGTGGGAGCCTTTGCGGCACTGGGGTAAATGAAAATGATTCAATTTTTATTTTATCCTTTTATCTTAGCTTGTCTTTTTATTTTATTGTTAGCTTTGTGTTTTTTTTGTCCTTTTTAGCTTCGATATAATCGATTAATGTTAGCCGACCCCAAATTGTTTTAGGAATAAGGCTTGGTTGTTGTCATATACTCCCTCCGTCCCTAATAACTTTGTCAAGTTTGACCGGCACGGGGATTAATAAAGTAAAAACTGTGTGGTTGAGGTTTGTGCAGAAGAGAGAGAATTAACTAGAACCACAAATTCTTTACTTAAAAAGGAAAGTGACAAAGTTAGTGGGACATCCAAAAAAAGAAAATTATAAGGGAAGGAGGAAGTATATTTAAGTAGCTGGAAATATTAAAAATTGTTTCAAAATGATGTACTCCGTATTATTATTGGGAAAGGGGTCAAATATCTTCTTGAACTAACCCGAAAAGTGCAAATCATCCCTTATATAGGAGGCTTTGTCTGACTGTCGCCTTTTGGGACGGTTTCTGGTGGAATTTTTTTTGATAAAATTGTTTGAGCATCTTCTTCATTAAATCTAATTTACCCATACCAAATTTCAAATAAAAATTCAACCGGAAAGACGGTCAAACAATTTTCTGAAATGTACTGCGCTGTTTAACTGCGGAGTTATCTTCAAAAACTTATTTGACTGTCTTCTCAATTGAAATTTTAGCTGAAATTCGGTGAGTAACTAGACTTAATAATGAAGAAGATGCTCAAAAAAATTTATCAAAAAATTCCACCGGGAATCGCCCCAAATGGCGACGGCTGAACAAAGCCTCTTATATAAGGGGTGATTTGCACTTTTTAAGTTAGTTCAAGGCCTATTTGACCATTTTCCCATTATTATTCGTTTATCAGGTGATGGTTGATATTATTTAAACTTATTTTGCACTAGAACTAAAACAAGGATACAAGAACAACAACATCCAAGCCTTAATCTCAAAAGAATTCGGGGTCAACTAACATGAATCGATCTATGATATCAATGTTGAACAGAGAAGACGGACAAGACGGGAAAAAAAGTAAGATAAAACAGATTAAATAAAGATAAATAAATATAAAATAACAATAACATAAGAATATAAGAAAGATAAAGGGAAAAATAATTAGAATACCCCAAACTATGGAGGGATGTGAGATAAGCACCCCAAACTTGCATATGTAATTTAAATACCCCAAACTTTATGTAAAATGTGATTTTAACACCATGGTCATGTATCATTTTTTTAAAAATGTAAATTTATGATGTTAATTGCATAATTCAAAATATCAAATTGAAAACTTTGCAATTATATAGAGTGGAGGGTAATACTATTTATTTCACAATGGAAGTTTAGAAATGTTAATTTTATCTTTATGAATGCTAAAATATTTTAAGTTATGAAATTAACATAAGAAATTGACATTTAAGAAAAAAATAATACATGACTAGGGTGCTAAAATAACTATTTATATAAAGTTTGGGGTATTTAAATTACATAAGCAAGTTTGGGGTGCTTACCTCACACCTCTTCAAAGTTTGGGGTATTTTAATTATTTTTCCCAAAGATAAAAGATAGAAAGATAAAATAGCATAACATAAAAATCATAAATAGGACTAACATTATTGTATTCCCAAAATAGGACGCATTCACTCCTATTTTTGAAAGTTTTAATCAACATATTCTTTTGATAGGACTATTTTTGGGAAGTTTTGATCAACTTATTCTTTTGATATAACTAAATAAGTCCTATTTGGGGATGAATAAATGAATGATCTCCATAATTTAAAAGAAACGCAAGGAATCCTTGGACAGTAGTTTCCATTGTAAAGACTAATTGATAAGTAAAAGGAGCAACATACATACCTTAGACCAGTGACTGCATCAAACACTTTCTCATCAGCTTTCCACACTTTTCCAATAGCTCCAAAAAGTAATGAGATCAGTTCTCCGTCTTCTTTTAAAGCCCCATTCCCCATGCTAATCACTATGTTAAGACATTTTATTTAATGATGCACTTCCCGTGCTAAGAAGGTGGTAGTAGTTGTAGTAAAATGAATGCAAGCAAATGATTCGTGAGAAAGTTAGATTATTATTTTACCCATTCCAACCCGAAAAAATAAGAAAATAACATGATTTCGTGGTAAAAATTCTATTAGGCAAGTCTTAAGTTCTTGGCAAAACATGTTAAGGATCACCATATGTGTGTCACTTCAAGCCTCTCAATGCCCCTAGCAGAAAATGTAAAGCATACCAGAAGCTGCCTCGCCAACAGCTGCCGGAGTGTTTGGCATCACCCTAATAAATCTACTATTACCTGCCCATTCCTTGCAAAACAACCGACCGCTTCAGTTAATTGATTAAATATTGCAAGTATCAGGAGAACATTATCAGCATAATTAATTGAGAAAACCATCTTAATATATGCACACAAGGGAGAGTAGGGAAGCATTTGTTTTTTGTTCATATCGTTTGAAGAAGTTATATCATCTGCATGCAATGTTTTTTTCCTTTTGATGAGTGTTAATTATTGAAATATCTTCATAAGTAGGAATCAAAGTAACAGGCTGAATTAAGATTTAAGAGCACTAACCTTCGGAATAATCTAGCATGTGTGCAGAAGATATTATTAAGGAAATAAAAATTATTATTATACAATAACCACAGCTTAGGAATAATTATTACATAGCTACAGACCTACAGCAGACTATTCTTCTTACACAATGAAAACAAAAAGGTAGTCCATTTACTGGACCAAGTAATGTTTAGGGAGATTGCATAGCCGAAATAGCATTAACTTCTCAGTAGTCTAAAGATACTGTCACTCTCAAACCTCCTCTAAGTGACTGTGTGTCTATGTTCTAAAAGGAGTGATACTACTCTCTGACTCTTTGACTAAGAAAAAACGCCAAGTAAACCAAGAAAACATGAGGAAGCTAACATATGACATGATCAACATCAACTACCAAAAAACAAAGTCGATAAGGGGGGCATTGATAATCAATTCATCAAGAACAATAGAGCAAAGGGAGGCCTCACAGACTCACAGGCTCACAGCTTGATTTTCAAATCATTATTGAAACTGATTATATGGACAAGAAGTGAGCTATACTACTACACAAACCTGCAAGTCTATCAATTTGACACCTGCAGCAACTGACACCAGAAGTTGTTTCTCAGTAAAAACAGGCTTCAGTTCTAATATCACGTGTTTAACTGCAACAAGGAAGGTATGTGTATCATGAAAAAGAAAGGAAGTGCTACATGGAAACGTATCTCTTATGTGCACAATAATGATGTCAGTAATTTTGACTTCTTTCGACAAACATATGAAAATTCATTTTCATTTTTTGCTAGGATACTATTGAGCACAAAATCATGAAGGTTGTTTAAGGTTGTTGGGTTCATTCTAGCTGTAAGCAGAAGTGGAACAACATAACCTGCAAAGAGACTACAGGCTATACAAGGTGCAAAGATTACTACTTTGATGTAAAATTCTGTAGTTCTAACGGATTATCAGCTAAGAAAAGTTTATTAGTTACCGATGATAAATTAATCCTACCACTAATGATGAGAATGGGAAGCCTACCAACTTGAGGCTTCACAGAGAATATGATCACATCACTATCTTCAACAACCTGTCTTTCATATATAAAGCAAATATATCATCAATTTTTAGGAACTACTACCTCCATCTCGCACGGTTTGGGACAAAGGGGTGTGGTGTGGTTTTTAAGAAAAAGTAGAATTGTGTGTTTAGTATTGAATCCATAAAGTGTGAATAAAGATAAAACGAGATAGAGTTAGGGGGACGGACGGGAGTATTTGACTCATCCCTAAAAAACTTTTAATTGAAGACAAGAAGCAATCTTTTGAAGAACCAAACAGTCCAGTGTGAGAGGAACCAAGAATTAGCCAGAATATCGCATCTTTGTCATAAAAACAAGAGGCAAAGACCAAACCTGCTTGTTGTGGTCGTAGACGGTGACACCAAATGATTCAAAGGCAGTGCGGCGAGTGGAGCCGCAATGGGCAGTTCGAATACGAGAAGCCGGCAATATGCCCGATTTGACTACGCCTCTCGCAATGCTCTCTGCTAACTTTCCTGCTCCTATGAAGCCTAACTTGTACATGCCGCTTGGGATGGGAACAGTGTTTGACATCGCCAATTGATGAATGTGACAGGACAGAGAATAGTGGGAATATCCTGGACATAGGCGTCTTTAGCATTTCAGAGAAATACTAGTACTTATTATGAGCAAATCATAATAAAAATAAGATTAATTGAATAAAAAACATCATAGGAAAAAATATATTTAAAGTGTACGGTATAATGTATTGAATATTCAAACAAATAAGTTACTAAATGCAAACATATGTAAAATACATCACAAACTTGTACTTGTAAACTCTTCTAAACTTATTCTTCTTGCCTTTTGAAGTGCAAATCATTGATAATATCACTGCAATCAAGACTAGCTACTACTTTTTTTCAAACGATAGAGCCGGAAAGTGATTGTATAAATTGGAAAATCTTTCCCTTCCTTATTATGGCATACTGCCATTGCTATATATACACTCGGCCAGTACCGTAGCCATGCAAGGCATACGGCTGGCATCCCTTAACTAGAAATAAGAATATTGCATCTAGCCATAATTAGGACTAGGAGCAATAATACGCAAAAAAGGTAATGAATAATACAATTAATAGTGAATAATGAGATGCCCAAGAAAAATGAGAGCGGCTTGAGGTCAGTCATGGCAGACTCGTGATGAAACTGAGATAAAATGTCCCGACGGAGAGCGTCGGAGGAGGCCGTGAGAATGATGTCGTCCACGATAAGCAAAATAAAGCGGTGTCGTGATTGCGCCAGAGAATGAATAGGGAGTGATCACATTTGTTGTGGACAAAGCCGATAGTCGCTACATACATGGCAAAATGTTGGTACCAAGCCCGGGGGCTTGCTTTAAGCCATAAAGTGATTTGAGGAGGAGGCAGACATGGTGCGGCTGAGAGGAGTCACAATAGCCGGGTGGTTGGTGCATGAAGACAGTCTCCTCTAGATGTCCATGGAGAAATGCCAAGAGTGGGAGAGGGCAATGCTTAGCACCGTGCGGATGGTAGCGGGTTTGACCACCGGGCTAAAAGTCTCATCATAGTCAACACCGATTTGTTGTGAATTGCCATTAACCACTAGCCGTGCTTTGTGACATTCAAGAGAGTCATCCGACCTGTATTAAGTTTAAACAACCACATACAACGAATAATGTTAGTGGAAGGAGGCCGGGGAACCAACTCCCACGTCCCATTTTTAATAAGTGTGTTGGGAATATTTTATGGTGTCCAATCTAATTAAATATCTTTGTATTTGTGTAGTTATTAGTTAAATGTGTAATATGGGTCACAAATGTATTTCAGCCCATTAGCCCACTTGTAAGCCTTAAGTTAGACATCCTTATGTATAAAAGGATGCTAACTTAAGCAAACCCTAACTCTCATATAAGCCTCAACGCACATATCATTTTTAGTGAGAAGGGAGAAAAACACCGTTCATACCCTATTATGTATTTCGACATCTTTATTGGTATTGAATCGGATCATCGTTTCTTCTGTACTCGTTATATTGTTTGTATGATTGTTGATTGATATTGGGACTAACAAAGTGCACTAAATTCGTCATCCATGGCGACTTTCCAGTATGGGTCACGAAGGGCGGTGATTGGACTCTTGGGTATGGGTGACAATGATATTGTGGCTGGGAGGTTGAGGATATGCTTGAGTTTGAATATGCCGGCTTTGGATCGAGTGATCATGGGGTGGTGGGGTGGCCGGTTCTGAGCTTCATCCGCAAAGGCAAGACGGTCCTTGATTTCAGGCCAGTTGGGGTTACAAGTGACAGTTATAAACAAATCCGGCTTACCCTAACGCTGAACAAGGGTCATTGCATCCGTGTACCTACCACGCATATCACGTGGCCCACCTATGAACGATCCAGGCAACATGACACGCTTTCCAACGTCATTGGTATTATCCAGACCTGCACCAACACTGTCGACCAAGCCTTGGTATGTTTCAGACCGGAATTAACGCTGATTGCTACAGTAGTAGTCCAACCGTTGTGTTTCTATTTTAATGTACATGTCAACAATGTACTGTTGGAATAACCGACCAGAATGCAGAATGCAGAACGTACGAGGTGGACTCGTGCCACATTTGTAATTTGTATGAATAATATTGATGGCATGAAATTGACTGTCTTTTCCTGCCTGTAACATGCATCTGTTCCTCTGTTGCAATGAGGCTATCGAGTGTCTCTACCATAGCGGACCCAATCGTGAATGAAGCATCGGGCTGGGGAAGAGGGTGTGGAAAGTCAGAGCGATCCTTAGGGATACCTTCGTGCCAGCCCGCTTCACCTATAGGGAAAAGCAGAGGATACTGCAGCGGGTCATAGCAGCCGTAGTAATAATGTATGTTCTGAGATTTTCTGCTATGCGCGTACACACGAATGTTCTTATTTGAAACGATGCTTTCATTTCCATCTTCCACCCTGACAGCGGCAACCTAAGATGAAGTTGGCCGATTGTAAACGCGTTAATCCAAGGCAAGGTTTCCGTTCAGTACAATGGAGAACTCATCGCTCTGATCAATTTCGGACAGCGTTTTGAAGAACTGTGTGTACGGGTTAGCAGCCATCACGAACATTAACCTCGACACAACGTCCTTATCCAGGCGTTCAGTTGAGGATAGCCGACTGTCAAGGGCTTGTTCTGTGTCATAGAAGTAGAGTTGCAGGTTCCGTGGTGGGCACCCAGTAGGCAATAAATCATCTATGAAATGATAAATTTGCCCCTGCACTCTGAAAATGTATATGCCCCTGTTGCGCCTGCAAAGGCTTTTGTCAAAGTTGTAGATGCCTATTGAAGTGAATGTGAACGTATTGTTATATGATCGGGCTAAACTTGCAAGTGTACAAGTGCCGATATAGTAGTAAATTCCGGTAAAATACCGGGTCGAATCCACAAGGAAACGTTGTTTAATTCAAGTCCGAGAGTAGATAACTTTAAATGAAGAATTGAATAAAGTGCAGGGATTTTGATTTGTGTTTTATATTTTTGGTTTTTTCACTTTTTGTTCAACAAGATAATCGTTAACTAACTTTGAGTTCAAGATAAATGATAACAACAACTAAGGCTTCGGGAATCACTTAAATGCTTTAATAGGGTTGAATATTAGTTCTTTGCCAATAATTATGAATACGATGTCGCTAATATATTCTCAACTCCGGTTAAGGCAGCGAGAGCGTGGTTTTCGTTACGTGTAAGTCCCGTTATGGCTTACATTCATCTACCGAAAACCCCGTTGAATATCAAGACATCGCACCTGTATCATATAAGACCGAATATATTTCCATTCTCGGTACTATATATGTTTATCCTTTAATGTTCATAGTTTAGACTTCAACGTTAATTGCAAGTATAAACTAAATTTAACATACTTCTATGTTGTACACCATAGTCATAAACAATCAATATATAAAGGATAAATCACAATTTATTGGTTTAGAACTTTTATCAAACACCTAGTGGGCATAGAAGTTCATCCCTAGCCTTAGCTAAGAAATTAGCCTCTAATGCTCATATTAATCACAATATAATAATAAATGTAATGGAACATGAAATTACAAAGGAAATAATGCCTAAACACCAATGATTTCGGAGGATGAACTTCCCTCCTCAAGAACTTGAAGAAAATACCAAGAACAAAAATATAAAAGTTAAGAATTAATCTATGGAATGGGATGTGTTTGTATGATGAATTGAGGGCTCTATATTGGCTAAAGAATGAAATCTTTTAGTCTATTCGAACCCAACAATGAGGTATGGAAGCAATATTTGATTAGCATTGAGGAAGATGGGGTTTTCCCATCAAGAATCAGCTTGCACGATGCTGTTTTTTAGCAAAAAATTGACCCAACTGACGCCGGTTGGTCAGATGACCGGCCCCGGTTGAAAACAGGCTCATTTGTGCGAGAAAAAAACGTTCCGACCGGCGCCGGTTGCTACGCCCAAATATGTACTTCATTTCTCTTCCTCCGAAATGGATCAAAAAGTGTCGGTTTTTGTACCGGGATTTTGGAGATGTTCCGCTACGAGTTTGGACATGTATCATTCACCAAAGTTGTAGATAATGAAGTCTTCTATCCAACAAAACTTGCATCACGTTATTTTATTCATCCAATCAACAGATATAGATAAAACACTGAGAGGTATGCATCCTGAAATCCCACCAGCAACATCTGACTTTATCGGTTGATTGAGTATTGTTCCTTTCCTATTCTGGTCATGATGTCTTGATAACATTTGTACCTTATTGAGTTACCATTCACATGAAATTAGAATGGAGTGATATTGAATTCTCTACAATACGTTATACTCAAATGATGGGCAAAATGTCATCCTTTTGGTCCCAAAAGCCGTTCATCACAATGTTTTATGCTCTAACTCTCATTCTCAAGATATTTTCCCAATTTCTCTTCTTTTCTTCAACAAATACTTATAAATACTTATGTTAAACACAAGTAAATATAACGGCTATCAAATCCCCCCACACTTGAGCATTGCTTGTCCTCAAGCAATTTCTTTGTATTGATGCACAATTAGAAAAGAAACTAAACCATGCAAATTAAAAGTTTAATAAGATGTTAAAAATTAGATATAAACTCTTTAATCTTTCTCGAGCCAAAAACCTTTTTCTATTACTCACAATAAATGTATTTAAGATTAAGAAAAATATTTAAACACTTGATGGGTTTATTTTGTGACAATTAGGCAATATGTGGGTATGTCGGTGTTTTTTTTTTCTTGTGGACTGACAACTTGATTTTGTAGAGAAGGCTATTCTAGGAGAACATGAGTTTTTTTTTTTGCTTTTTTATATAAACTCTTTTTTTGTTGTCCGTAATTATACATCTAGATTGTCAGAAATGAGGAGAATCCGACAATAGAGTGATTTGGAGTTGGGATGAAACTTTTGTAAGGAATAATTGTATTTAGATTTTGATGATGCTATATTAATTAGGACTGTAGAGTACCCCTTTAGAAATTATGTATTAGAATTTTCCCTTGTAAAATTCTTAGCATATTCGACTACCAGAAGGCCTCTCTACCAGAAGTCCTCCAGACAGAAGATCTTGGTTCTCTGTC